GTTAAATTATAGCTATTGTACATAATATAAGTTAAATATTTGTTATTCGCATAATTTTCCAAAAAAGAATCTTATTAAACACTACATGATCAGAGTATTATTCGGAATAATGAATACCATAAGATGACAGATTTAGCTTCCCCAAATCTATTATTAATTATACTATTATTAGCTTGAATATTGATGCTACTCACGTGTCGACCTACCTAATCGATATATTTAATTTCTCTCATTTAGAGTATAGTATATCACACATAATTACTTGGAATATTTTCTTCACGTGGTAGTTGGTACATGCGTCTTTATCATCGTCAAATCACTCATCTCATTAAAGATACGATTCAATTCTCGCCACGTAAGTTGAGCTATCAATAAAAAGGCAAGAATCATAGTCAGGTCTAATATGATTTTATTTTTAAGATATATGGAAATTAAATAACTACCTAAATTATTAAAGATTTATTTTTATTAGAACATTAAATAATCAAAATTATTTATTTTTCAATATTTGAATGTATAATTATTTATTTGTTTGTAAATATAATAAATATATGATTAAATAAAATTAATTCAATAATAGGAACTATATAAATTTAATAAAATAAAATTATTATTTAATAAAAAATGAAATATTTATGTTCGCTAGTGATGATTGAGATGATTTGTATGGTGACATAGTGATAATGGTTGATGTTAGTGGCAAGTAATAGTGATACTGAAGGTAGTTGGTGTTGTAGCAACTGTCATGATTGTGACGGTTGATAGTGATGATATCTAGAAAATGTAAGGTGTTGGACGATGTATTTGTGATAGTTGACTGCAGTGTTAGTTGTGATCGTGGAGTTGATTGGTAGTAGCGATTGACCATAACGTTAGTGATTGATAGTGGCATGATGGAGGTGGCAGCAACGGTAGTAGTGATGATGACAATGGTCAAAGGTGGTGGTGATTGGTGAGACAATAATAATAGTTGGCAATGGTGATAGTAGTTGTGATTTGTGATGAAACTAGTACTTGTTGATGTATTAGTGGTGAATATTATCCCAAAAAAATATATTTTAATAATATTTATGCTTTATTCAAAATTATAATAATTAAAACTTATTCAAATCAATTAAATACTTAAATTTTAATAAAATGTATTAATAGCTACTTTGCAAACAAATAAATAAGGCTGGAAAGTCACATCCAAATAATTATAATTTATAAAGCGAGTACTAGTAATTAGAGAGACGAAGTTAAGATTTTTTTAATTTATAAATCTATTACTATATATATATGTAAAAGATTTTGTTGATTATTCATTAACTTAATAGTCTTTTTATAAATTTAAAATCGATAGAAGAAGATTTCGAAAGATAAGGAAATCAGCAAGATCACCCAGAAAGATCATTGAGATTATATATTAATACAAACAATCACATATAACTAACCCACATGTAAAGTAGGAAAAGGTGATGGAAAGTGGAGAAAGAAAATATAAAATGGAATTTTTTTTCTTTTATGAAGTTAGAATTAGATAGTATATTCTACCTAGGAGATGAGAGTATTTTATTTGAAATTTAGGAAGATGGAAAAAAACACGTTTGAAACACTTTTTAAATTTAAAATTTATGGTCACATTTTTTGGATTAAAAACTAAATAAAATGCATAATCTAACATTAGTGTTTGGTCATATAATTTATAATTATTTGATAGATATATTTGGTAAACATCCCAAGTTTTCAAGTTTTAGTATTTGAATTTTTTTTAAAATCACCCCAAACTTTTATACTAATTTTATAAAAACACCCATCATTTATAATTTTGGACTAAATTTCATCCCTAGTTTATAGCACAAAATTTATAACGTTATATTCATATTTTATACAATTTTATCCGAGCTTGCTCTTCTGAGTCACTTTCAATTACAAGTACTAATAGTAGTTTTTCGTATACAAATAACAAATCAATGGTACTTTTTTTTTCTTTTTTCAAATTCATATTAATCATGTTCGATGTCATAACTTTTCATAAAACATTTTCATTATAAAATGATAATACAAATTTATGAATTTTTTTAATAATTTTTAAAATGTATGGATATAAATTATATTTTTATAAAAAAAAATCGAATATTTCTACCAACATTTATAACCAAACAGCAAAACATTACTTAAGAATAACTTGTCAAAAATATTTAAAAATCTACGACCAAACACTCCATAGATTAAAGTTTATTATACAGTAGAACAAAACAACATAGGCGCCTAGCAAAGTTACAACAAAAAAAAAGACACGTTTTCCTAATTTTGTAGAGAATAGAGTTGTTGGAGAGTACCAATAAAAAGGCGACATATTCGAACTGACTATTGTCGCTCAAACGCTACTTAGACTTACCATAACAAGTTTTCATATGGACAAGTTAAGATTATCTCACTTGAAAATTATCTGATTGAATGATTAAATATTTATAATATGCAATTTCAACTTACGGAAGATATGACTTTAGACATGAGGTTATGAAAGACACAAATTAAGATAGATTAGTTGTAAGTAGTAGTTATAATATTGCTTCGGTAGTTACTTGTTCTTTAATTTCTATTACCATTCGTTGTTTTTTGTACTTCGATTATCATTTTATTTTGTTGTAGTTTTCTACTATATCAGAGTACTATTTATTGTTTTGTTACTATGTAACTGGTACTTTTTTGTATTTACTAGTTTCACGGTACGTGCGTTGCACGTGTGTATTGTATATATAGTATTCAATGCTGTAAAATAGAATTAATATTACTAAATTAAAGTTTTTTAGTAAATAATTATAATTGAAAGAACATAGGACAAGTGTTTTTAAGTAATTAATACAAATTGTTATAGAGTTACTTGTATTTTGAGATCAAAATGACCAAATATCATTGAAGCATTTCAAAATACATTCAAAGTTTAAATGTGGGGAAAAAGTGACATTTCTTTATTAGTGTTTTTACTTCACTCAATTTTTTAAGCAAATCTAACCAACAATTTTTTTTAAAAAGTATCAATACAAAAAATGTCACAAATAGCCTTTCCTCATGAGGTTGTGAACATAAATGATGGACACCATTTAAGTACAATTTTTCTCTTAAATATTCATACTTGAAATGTAGTATGTGCATGACACTAATAAGGATTACCATAAATATTTCAATATTTTATATTTATACGCGATCTATCTTTTACAAAATATTATTACTCAATTAATTCTCGAGTAAGAATATCATATATAGAGAGGTAATTTTTTCATTTGATTGAAATCACATTATAAATAAAAGCTAAAATCTCTTTTTGAAATAATGGATTTTATATCCAAACTAATAATTTAATGGACTATGTTGATGCCCGTTGTTTTACCAAAATTAGAAAGAAACTCCTTCGTGAGGGTAAGAGAATAAAAAATGAAAAAATAAAGAAGAAATATCATACCCAAATCATGTGACTATTTTCATTGAAGCATTTCAAAATACATTCGAAGTTTAAATGTGGGGAGAAAGTGACATTTCTTTAGTAGTATTTTTACTTCACTCAATTTTGTAAGCAAATGTAACCAACAAAATTTTAAAAAAATATCAATACAAAAAATGTCACCAATAGTCTTTCCTGATGAGGTTATGAACATAAATAATGGACACCATTTAAGTACAATTTTTTTCTTAAATATTCATACTTGAAATGTAGTATGTGCATGACACTAATAAGGATTACCATAAATATTTCAATATTTTATGTTTATACGCAATCTATCTTTTACAAAATATTATTACTCAATTAATTCTCGAGTAAGAATATCATATATAGAGAGGTAATTTTTCATTTGATTGAAATCACATTATAAATAAAGCTAAAATCTCTTTTTGAAATAATGGATTTATATCCAAACTAATAATTTAATGGACTATGTTGATGCCCGTTGTTTTACCAAAATTAGAAAGAAACTCCTTCGTGAGGGTAAGAGAATAAAAAATGAAAAAATAAAGAAGAAATATCATACCCAAATATGTGACTTTTTTCATATTTGTTTATTATTATTGTCTTTCCCATAACTTTTCGTCATTGTTAACTCATGAACATCGTAAGAAAAACTACGAGTGTGAATTGTTGAATGATTTGCTATAATTTGTTCAACAACTCTTTCTTATGTGATACCCAAATTTCGTTGAATTTTGAACTTAATCAACTATTGCATATAACCCTTGAAATTGTTTAAGAAGAAAAAGACTACAAAACTTTAAAAAATTATAGTTTAAAAGTGAGAGAAACTCTTCTATTTATAGCTAACAAATAGTAGTATGAATAGGTGCTACTTGTGCCTTATCAGAAAAGTTACAACCTTTCGGAAAAGTCACAACCCTTTGGAAAAATCACGACCCTTTGGAAAGTTACAACTCATTGAAAATGTCACAACCCATCAAAAAAATCGCAAACTTTTGGAAAAGTCACAACTCTTTGAAAAAATCACAACCCTTTAATGTGAAAAGACATCTATTTTTAAGATAATAAAAATAATTAAACTAATAAATAAAATAATTTGAGTATTTTTAATTGGGGGTATTATAGTAGTTCAACATTCAAGTTTGGGAGCTCTTGCTTTTAAGGTAGTATAATTTAAGGTAGTATAGATATAGATGTTACTTTTCTCTAGACGATTTTGGATAAAAAAAATTTGAGCAGAGGATATATCGTAAAACCTCTCTACATGACTACCTCTGAGGTAGACGTAAGGTTCGCAAACATTATATCCTTTTCATATTTTACTGTTTGAGATTGTGTAATATTTAAAAAAAAATAAATGTAAATAGATTTATATTAAGCACATTGATACTAAATTATTATTTTCAAGAAATGATCTTTTTCACCTACTTTTACACCTTGCCCACAAGGTCGAGTGTAGATGCGCGTGTGAGCGCAGCGAGTGGCCGGATTATATGACGGTCCCTTGAGAAGCGACGTGGACAGCCTATCTAGTGGGGTTTTTTTTTTCTTATCAAATTCTTTAGCTATAAAGCAGGAATCAGCACTCCATTTTTTTTTAACTCATATCAGTAGCATTTAGCACACTTTCACAAAATACTGAAAGTGAAGTGATCAAGTGTAGAGAGAGCCATGGCAATTCCTAATATACGGATCCCTTGTCGGCAGTTGTTCATCGACGGTGAATGGAGAGAACCCCTCAAGAAGAACCGGTTACCCATCATCAATCCGGCCAACGAAGAAATTATCGGTATTTGAAATTTTATAGGTTTAATTTCAAAGATCTCTTGCAATTTAGTGTAAAAGTTTTGAAATTATCTTAAAAGTTGTGAAGATCTGTGAGTGTTTAATGGTTGCAAGTAGAATATGTTTTACAATAACCTTCAAATTATCTTCCTAGTAATCTTATCTTGTAAATTAATGAACTCTTGTTTGATCCGAGTGTATTTTATTTTTTTATCTTCTTGGATTTTCAGGGTATATTCCGGCAGCTACAGAGGAGGATGTAGATATTGCCGTCAAAGCTGCACGGAGTGCGCTTCGTCGGGATGACTGGGGTTCTACTACTGGAGCACAGCGTGCCAAGTATCTTCGTGCTATTGCTGCTAAGGTTAGTGTGTTCAGTTTGGTAATTTTTCCACATCGTTATTAGGTGGACCACCTAGCAGGTTTGACTTTCAGGTTTGGTAACTTAGGGATGCTTGGGTGGAATTTCTCATCTGAGAATTATCTTTTGTTGACTTGCATTTTCTTGATTGCTTATTAACTTAAGGAAGTGTTAATTTCCTTATCTTACAAGACTAGACGATAGTGTTATCTTGTGAGATCAGTTAACCAGATATTTGTATATAGGCCTACAGTCACATCAAGAAAGCTCGAACTGTACTTTATCAAAAAAAAAAAAAAGATCCCTCAAATTGTGTCCTGCAGCTAATTGAATAACACCTGCAAAGATTATTCTGTTTGAATAATGATAAATTATTTCTCTTCTAATTACAATAATGCCAGTTTTCACTACTTTTCACCTTTGACTCTGAACATCATGACTTCCATGGTTGTGAAACACAGTAGTAGATAGCAGATCTAGTTTGATTAGATTATGTTGTAGTGTACTTACAGCTGCTGCGTCTATATAGTATTTACCTTGATTCTTGGTGTTTGAGTGTCAGCCTGATATTGATATTATTACTATTCATGATTATTCGTTTATGCATTAAATGGTTCAGTTGCTATTGTTTACATTTACTGTAGGTACTGGAGAAAAAGCCTGAACTAGCTACACTTGAGACGATTGATAATGGAAAACCCTGGTTCGAGGCTGCCTCGGATATAGTACGTTCTTGCTTAATGGGATAAACATAATTTTATTTATTGCAAAATACTTCATTCTACTTATGTGCTCTTTCTTATCTTCCAGGATGATGTCGTAGCGTGTTTTGAGTACTATGCAGATCTCGCTGAAGCTTTGGATTCAAAAAAGAAGACTGAAGTTAAACTTCATTTGGATTCATTCAAGACCCATGTTTTAAGAGAACCTCTTGGTGTTGTGGGGTTGATTACTCCATGGTACACCACTTACTGTTAATGATTTATGCTCTTCTTATCTCTTTCAACCCACTTTGAAATATGGTATTCTTCTTTTTTCCAACCAAGATGATATTATTTATAGATGACCAACTTCTGCATTGTACATACAGTTACTGTATATGTGGCCGCTCTATTTGTTTATGTGCTATTAGGAAAAAGGAAAGACTGTTCTAATGAGAAACGAAAATAGTTTGCAAGTGTAGTTCATTAAACTAGTTATTGACTAGTTCAGCGGTGTCATTAATTGACAAAGTTGGATGCCATCCTAACACAAGCGTTGGGAATGATAATCAAGTGGACTTGTGAGAACTTTATTTATTGGATAGTGACAACATACACATTTCAAGCTCTGAAAAAGGTGAAATGTCATTGAGATGAAAGCCTTAGGAACTCTGATTTCTAGGAATCTAAGTTTTTTAGACGCCTTCAAAAAAGTCTAGAGAAATTAGATGAAAAAGTAGGAAGAGACTCGAGGGGGTGTAGGACAATTGTAGAGTTTCTCCCGAATATTTCTTTGTTTGTTGACCTCAAACAAATTGCATCTTCAAGGCAATCAGGAATACTTGTGGAAGTCAAGAGGGGTGTTGACAAACCGGGGGTGGGGGACAGTCTTCAAGAGATTATTTTTTCTCTTTTCTTATTTTTACCACTCACTCTGGTAAGTTGACAAACCGCTGCATTTGCAGTTTCAAAGATTCCTAAAAAGATTAGCTTTTTTTGTTTATGAGTTAGGGAGATCTGAAATCAATCTCTTGGAGCATTGTGAATTTCATTGGATTTTTTGTGTTTCGTATGAGAGAAAAGATTTAGATGGTTGATTTATGAGCTTTTGTTTCATAATGAAGGAATTATCCTCTTTTGATGACTACATGGAAAGTCGCTCCTGCCCTAGCTGCTGGTTGTGCAGCAATACTTAAGCCATCAGAACTAGCATCTATGTGAGTCCTTATCTTTTTTTCTTCATTATCCTTATTAATGCCCATATCATTTGCATCTTTACTCATTTTTTCAACTTCAGTACCTCTTTGGAGTTGGGTGAAATCTGTAGAGAGGTGGGTCTTCCTCCTGGTGCCCTTAGCATACTAACGGGATTGGGACATGAAGCTGGTTCTCCTTTGGTATCACATCCTGATGTTGATAAGGTTTGCTTTGTTTCTTTTGGGTGTATATGTGCTTGCCTAAATTTAATACTATGTAATTTCATTTGATGAATGCATTTTTACTTCTTTGGGTGAGCAGATTGCATTTACAGGAAGTGGCCCAACAGGGGTCAAGATCATGACTGCTGCAGCTCAACTTGTTAAAGTACGTTCACATCTGAATAATCATTTAGGTTCCTATTGGCAAAACTGATATGCTGGTGGATTCAGCACACTAAGACTCTGTTTGTCATTTGCAGCCAGTTACTCTTGAGCTTGGTGGAAAAAGTCCAATAGTTGTGTTTGATGACATTCATGACCTTGATATAGGTTTGCTCTTTTAGTCCTATATGACAACTCCCTTCTAATGTAATATTATCTATTCCTGACATATCTGGAATTTCCTATCACATACTTAACAAAATTGATAATTTTGGAAAAGGATGAACTTCATCATTTCAATGTTCTTCTATTTCGGAGGAACATTATCAATATAAAAAAGAAGGAAAAGAAAGAATAGGGAAAAGCCAGCTATTGAAATTTAACAGGTGACTAGCACATTACAAATCAATGCGCTAACCTCCGAGTTATGTGTAAATGCGTAATAATTGCCTAAACTGTTGGAATACAAGTCTTAATATTACTTTCTGTGCCCTCATGCATTTCATAGTCACCTTTGTGTTGCATTTAAGAAATTAATATAGCTCTTGAGCTTAAGTGTCCTCATTGTCTACACAGCTGTTGAGTGGACTCTTTTTGGCTGCTTTTGGACAAATGGTCAAATTTGCAGTGCAACATCACGTCTTATAATACAGGTAACTAGCTTAAATATTGGAGAAGGCCCATGTATTTAGTTAGTTTTCAGTTTTATGGTTATCTTGGTTCTCTGACTCCACACTGTTTACCACTATCTAGAAAATACTGAATATACTATTGGCAACCAGCAATTCCTTAAGAATACAAGACGATTGTGGGGGTATGAGTATCTTAAGGAGCAGATAATTAGTTTTTCTCGTAACACTGTATCAAGGTCGCTCTATTTTTTTTCTGGTTGTTCGTAATGAAGTTTCTTCAGGCCTATGATTATGCGAAACTCGATTGCTCCTTAGTTTGGTAGTTCACTGATGGTACCTGAGCCAAACATAATATCAGTTGGTGAAAATTCCATGCACATCATCTCAACTCAACTTGAAGGCTCAAGGTCCATGATGATGATGCCATAATACTTCATGTTAGTGATGAAATATCTAAATAGTTCATAGCGCACACACTTCTTATATCATATTCAAGTCTTCTTTCACAGTGTAACAGGAACATCACTGCAAACCTATTTGTCATAGTGAGGTAGGGTCATGTTGAGGAAAGACACTCACATATCTTACTTGGATTTAGATAACCGCTTGATTCGTGGAATCATTTAGTTTACTTTATTGTTGTCAACAAGATTTCACAATATGTGGAGAGCCATTCCAGATAGTGTGGAGCGAGAATTTTTCTCATTTCTTTGAATAGAAGAGGCTCAAATAACAAAAGAAAGATACACCTGTCTTATATTTAATTGATTACTAAGAGAAGAATTAAGATAAGTAGTACCAAGAAAATGGACCAACTAATTCCTTATCTCTTTATCCTTAAGAATAGGATGAACGACCCACAAACAGTGAGTGTCCTACCAGAATTCTTGAAAGTTGGAACCGAAAGGGGATCATCCTAATTCCTAATGGCTGACTGAGCACAATGTGCATCTAATACTATACCTTGATACACCAGACAATACTTTATCAATGAGAAGGCTAAACCATCCTGCTTCCTTTTTCTTATGCTACAAGATTAGATTGTGAAATTTAGTCCCCATTTGGACATCGGTTAGTTTGACCTTTAACTGAAAACCAAGGGCTCTGAAACAGGTAAATGTTAGAATTCAGAATTGCTGAATAAAAAAATAAAAAGAAAGAAAACGAAAGGCAAGGCCTTTTCTGCTCAGTTTACTTTCCTTATAAAAAAACAAAAGACATGGTCTTCGCAGAAGGTTTTCTGGTTCTTAAATAGCAAGTAGATCAGTTTCAGATGGCCTTTTTAAGAAAAGAGTAGGCCTTTTTAATAAGATCCTTGTATATAGTTGTTACTGATTTGCTATTCGTTGTCATGTTTCTCCCCACCGCTGTTTTTTCGTTTTTTTACTGCTTTGATTTTCTTGAGCTGAGGGTCTTTCGGAAACAGCCTCTCAACTTCGTAGAGGTAGTGGTAAGGACTACGTACACTCTACTCTCCCCAGACCCCACTTTGTGGGATTTCACTGGGTATGTTGTTGTTGTTGCCGCCTTATTATAACACTGAAAACAATACTATTACAAAGTCCCTTTGATGTATCCTTTGATGCTATCGCCCTTTCTAATATTGTCAAACACTAGAGCTCTTTGTGAAAACAAATTATGAATTTGCAGGAAACAATTGCTCCACAATTTTTGGCCAGGCTTCTTGAGTGGACAAAAAACATTAAAATCTCAGATCCCTTGGAAGAAGACTGCAAGCTTGGTCCTGTCATTAGTCGTGGACAGGTAAAGACGTTCAGGCATTAAACTAGTAGAAGATACTCTGCTTTAACTGTATTACAAAGTGCTTCTTGGAGACAATGTTGTGTGTTTCTTTAAATAGATGCAACTGTAGCTCATGAAGCGAATGATTCATGGGCAAAATTTATGTTTGTTCCCTGCTTAAGGCGACTTATGTGCGCAAGTGTCCTCTGGATTAGATATAGTGAACAGGATAAGTTTGGGGGATATGGAACATAAAGTCACAACAGGCTGTTTAAACAATTTGTAGTTTGAAAATTGCCAAATAGCTATCCCGTGGTCTTTTTTCTGGTGTAGTATCAGTAGTTGTGGTGCAGAAGAGAAAAAATAACCAGTCTGCATGGATGATGTTGCAAAAATAGCCGTCGAAATGGGTTGATTTGGACATAGTTTCACAAGGCCAAGAAATTTTCCTTTAAGAGGACAATGGATGAATTTAAGAAACATATCTCTGATGAAAAATAAACAAATTCTTAAAGATTTTAGTTGTACTGGTGAGACAAATCTTCTGGCTGAAACTTTGGTGTTCGCTACTTCCTTGATTCAGTGATCATATTTAAATGTTGCGAGAACATAAAGTGTTCTCCTTGTTTAATGTCACCTCTAGTTTATCTTGTTAACTTCACCTCTAATTTATCAAGATGCAAGGGACTTCTGTCTGAGAAATTACGAATGCTTCCTCTTTAAACTTTTATACTCCCTCCGTTTCAAAAAGAATGGCCTCCTTTCCTTTTTTAGTCTGTTTCAAAAAGAATGACCTTTTTCTTTTTTTTGGTAACATTTTAATTTCAGCATTCCACGTGGCATGTTTAAGGCCACAAGATTAAAGGGAAATTTTGTACATTTGACATAACTTTAATTTAGGACCACAAGATTCAAAAGTCTTCTTTATTTTCTTAAACTCCGTGCCAAGTCAAACTAGGTCATTCTTTATGAAACGGAGGAAGTAGTTAATACTGTTAATTTGAAGTTCAATTCACACCCTTGTTACTTATCCTATTCATACCAAATAAATCTGATTAGTTCTGTCCATAATTGCACAACTTTGGGTTAGAAAACTTAGATGCTTGGTGTATATTACATCTAAAGTTCTTGGTAAACCTTAACATTAGAAAGTAATGAGTACCGCCTATATTAATGGTGGTCAATGCTGTATAATATTCATCTGCTTTCCCTAGTTAGTCAATGCTATTATTAAAGAACTATTGATGTGAGATATCGTTTCTTTCAGAACTATTAGAACTTAATCTTTGATGTAAGAATGGAAATACAGAGGATTCATGTTACTTGCTAAAATAAAGAGATAATAATTCATGTATTTCAAAAAGCTAATTGGTCTTGTTGTCCAAAATTTTGTCAATTAAACATCTGCTAAGGGAAGGGAAGTTTCTTTAACAGCACCCTGAAGTAAATAGGAGGTTGACTTATATCTTAAAAGGAATTTGAGGAGAAATCATAATGCAATCGACATGGGAAGGTCTGTGTAGTTGTTGTGAAAAAGCTCAAAAATAGGGAAAGAAATGATCATAATTCACATCAGTTTAGAATTCTTTGAAGATACTGGAACTTTCTTATCACTGGGCAAAGCAACAACATTTAAAAATGACATGGATATTGGCTTTCAATTTGTGTCTAGTTTTGTTTCTTTTCTTGTTATCATGTTTATCTGCTGGTTTCTTTTTCCGTCTAAGCAGACGTATGGGCAATTCTTATATGCTGACTGTTTGGTTTAACTTTCAGTATGAGAAGGTCTTGAAGTTCATCTCTACAGCCAAAGATGAAGGTGCAACCATTCTTTATGGTGGCGACCGTCCTGAGGTAAGAAACACTTCTGGGTGGAAGTATGCAGGTGCTGTATTTATCACTATGTTGGAACGTGACTTGATTCTTCACTGGATTTCAGCACTTAAAGAAAGGATATTACATTCAACCAACAATCATAACTGATGTTGATACGTCCATGGAAATCTGGAATGAGGAGGTATTTGGACCTGTTCTTTGTGTCAAAACATTTAAAACTGAAGAGGAAGCCATTGAACTAGCAAATGATACCAAGTGAGTTGGCTAGACTTGAGATTTATGATTCTATTATTTCACAAACATTCCTTTTTTTTATTTACACTTTTTTCTTTGTTAGGTATGGTTTGGGTGCTGCTATTTTGTCAAAAGATCTTGAAAGATGTGAACGTTTCACAAAGGTGAGAGTAGTTCCTCAATTGCGAAAAACATCTTTTATCCATACCCAAAGGCACTGCTTCTTGCAAAACCAGGGATGACCTCTTATTAATTGGACTTTGCAGGCTTTTCAGTCAGGGGTTGTCTGGATCAACTGCTCGCAGCCATGCTTTTGGCAACCACCATGGGGGGGTAAGAAGCGTAGTGGTTTTGGACGTGAGCTTGGGGAATGGTAAGCACTCATTGGTTGATTTTAGTACCATCTTGAATAACATCTAAGTGAATTAGCAATTACCTCACTTTCCCTTCATCCATCTTGTTTCTTTCTGCTACCTAAAATTCTCTTTCTGGAAGTAGTTGTGTTGTGTAAAAGCAACCCAGTATAAAGGGAAAAACTGAGGTTGTAGTATTACCACACTTAGAAGAGTAACTAGATGGGTAATCTGGCAAGTTGTACAGCTGATTAGTGATATTTTGCTCTTTCTTCTCTCTCGCAGGAGTCTCGAGAACTACCTAAACATTAAACAGGTGACTCAGTATGTGACTCCGGACGAACCATGGGCTTTTTACAAGTCTCCTTCAAAGCTGTGAAACTTTCAAGTGGTCAAGGATTATGTGAATGATGAAGAACCAGAGATGAAACTTGATCTGATGTAGAACTAGCGTCGGTTGTTGTTATCAAGTCTAATAAATCTGTTTGAAGGGACAAAATGTGGACTACATTTTTTTTACTGATATTGCGTTCCTCTTCTGTTTATTTCATCTTTAAGAGCAAAGTGTCAATACTGGATTCATCATATTCACTAATTGCACGTTACTTGCAGCATTCCATGGGAGAAAGGGTTAGCAAGTAATATTAACTAACATCAATTCATTTAATGCAATGAACCCATCAGTCCACAAAGGGGAAATAGCATGGGATGGATAAACAAAAGCCACCAATGAAAAATTAGATAAAAGTGACTTAATGATTTGGATTAATCTAAAGATTTTGTGAGTTTCCCTTTTGGGTTAGTAAAACATGAAAAGGGTTAAACCACAAAAAAATGATTGGAATTATATGCAAGCTAATTTACATGGTTGTATTTAATATATACGCTTTTCCATCACAAGTGATGATGACCAATGATAGATTACTATGTTGCGTAAGATGAATAATATGTAATTTAAACTTGTAAATTATAAAATATTAGTCACTGTTTTCCCCTTTTAGCTTTTCATTTTCCAATTCATTATCTATCTTTTAATTCACTATTTTGTCCCGTCATTATTTCGGATGATTACTAGTACGGTGCTACATCTCTTTCTTTCTTGATCTGGCTTTTCCAATGAAATTTGACAACCAAGTTAGGTACAACACTTTAAAGAGTATGATGACAAATGTGTTGTATGAAAAGTAAATATCGAAAAACAATAACGAAGGATGAAAATAATTTTATGAGTATGCAAGGGAAAATATAATTTTTTCCATAAAAAAGATTTTTTATCAATAGAATTTATTTTTTTGCAATGTGGAAGAGGAAAAAAGAAAATAAGGAGAATTCATGTGGAACATTACAAACACAAGAAAATCTTTGTGGTTGAAATTTCTAATTTGAAAAAAAATCTTCTTGCTTTAGTAAAAATATTTTCAAAAGAATATTATAATATGCTTTCCAAGTTCCATTTATCTCAAACATATGAACTTCCCCTGTTCGAAAAATAAAAGATCATAATTCATATACCTTAAATTAGACAACTTTATAATGACAACATAATAAATACAAATAATTCTATACTGGAAAGTGATGAAAGCCAATTAAAAACAAAAGAAAGGTCGAAATTTGCTACCTATTTGTCTCGTATAATATAAAAAAAATCCACCCCCTTTGTTCTGTCCTTTCTTTCTCACTGGATCTTTAGTATCCATCTCAATTTTTATTTACAGTATTCATATCCCTTTCTCCTCTCTGTCTATCTCCCCCAACGTTCTCGTCCACCTCCTTTTCTGCTTCATCTTCTGCCAGCACTGTCACTTTTAGGTTTCTGTATTGTAATTATCGAGTTGCCCCTTTTGAGATTATTTCCCAAATTGTGTTCATTGTAGAGTTAAAAGAATTGGAGCTGTTGATTTGGGCTGAAGGTTTTATCTTTTTTTTTGAGATCTGAATTCTGCTTTTGATAGAAATGGGAAGTTCTGAGGAGAGAGTTGTGGCTGTGATCATGGTCGGTGGACCAACCAAAGGTATGCATTTTTTTATTCAAGTTTTAGAACTTCCATCCAAGTTCTTTATCACTGTTTGGAATTTGGGTATAAAAGAAACCCTTGATTAATTTCAATTCAATTTTAATAAAGTTCAAATCTTGTGCCCTGTGTTCTTGATTCCTTGACAGGTACACGTTTCCGCCCATTGTCATTGAATATCCCAAAGCCACTTTTTCCATTAGCAGGACAGCCAATGGTTCATCATCCGATCTCTGCCTGTAAAAAGGTAATGCTTTCTTTGTACTAATGCTAAATATTGCTATACAGATTTGATGTTCTAGGTTTTCTTGCATTCATTAACGAATGGGGTGTTCAAAGTTCAAGGTTTTATGCATTAAACTAATGACTTCTGTACTTTTCAGATTCCGAACCTAGCGCAGATCTACCTCATTGGCTTCTATGAGGAGCGTGAATTTGCTATATATGTGTCTTCAATCTCGAATGAACTAAGAATTCCTGTCAGGTTTTATTACTATCCTGCTTATCCATGCAGTGAGTTTTATGAACTTCTTAATATTGGAGCTCATTGATGTGTCTATTGAATTTATTGTTAATAGATACCTGAAGGAGGACAAACCACATGGTTCAGCTGGAGGCCTTTACAACTTTAGGGATCTGCTTATGGAAGACAGCCCGGTTGGGATTTTCACTCTTCTTGATTATAATATTCTTGTGATGATCATGTGTAGATTGCTGGGAATAATAACTACAGAGTTAGTTACTAGGAACATAAGAATTGATCAAATATGGTCTAAAAAATCTGAAAATATAAGTGAGGCTGCTGCCTCATCATACTTAGCTATCACCTTAACATGGTTAACTTTTCTCACCTGGCAGTCACATATATTTTTGCTGAACTGCGACGTTTGCTGCAGCTTTCCTTTGCCTGAGATGCTCGGTATTTGGCTCTTTCTTTCCCTCTTTATACTTCTCTCACACTTCTTAACTTTCATTCTTCTACTCTCTTGATCAACTTCTCTGCAATAAAGAGCGTTGCAGTGGTTTAGAGTTTTGACTTTCCAAGGTTTACCTTCTGTTTGCTCCAAAATCGCAGAGGCTCATAGAAGATATGGTGGAATGGGAACCATTCTTGTCAGCAAGGTAGATGAAAGTCCCCTCGAACTGTTTGTCTAGGACACATGCTATTGGCTATTTTGTAGTTTATTAGCATCTATTATGTGATTACTTCATGTTGAAAGTCTTATTTAAGTTTCCATATGCAGGTGTCTGCTGAGACAGCCAGTGAATTTGGTGAACTGGTTGCTGACCCCGAAACCAATGAACTGTTGCATTACACAGAGAAACCTGAAACTTTTGTACGTCCTGATCCAACATTTACTTGCTGTTGGATTTTACTTGCATTAACTAAGAAATGTGTAGGTTTATACCCCTGGATTCTTGCCTAAATATGACTGGAATGCAGGTGAGTGATCGCATCAACTGTGGTGTGTACGTATTTACGCCCGATATCTTTAATGCTATTCAAGGAGTATCCACTCAGAGGAAAGACAGAGGTTGGTCTATGCATCATAACTAGGGTTTCCCTTGATTATGTGTTTTCATATTAAAAGAACTGAGATTTTTGGTCCATCTCTTCCTTTGATATCATTGTTCTAGTGTCATTTTCACCTTAGAACCATATTGGGCTGATTTGAACACTGACATAGCACAATTGCTGAAATAGAACAGTGCTGTGATTGACTTGGGACAATATTACGTCTTCCTAATCCAATGTGGTTTTCAAGTTTCTTAAAACCCATGCAGTGATTGGTCCCAATTCTCAAACAATAGTATTATATGGGGGTGATTTATGAAGTATTTCTCTTCTGTTGCAGCTAATCTAAGGCGTGTATCCAGCTTTGAAGCTCTTCAGCCAGTAAATAGGTATAATTTCCCTATAAAACTACGTAATAGACATTTTGGTGCTACCTTCGGAGAATAGTCATCTCATTTGCAATTGCCCTCTATTATGATTTCACTGTTGCAGCTCAAAATGGTATCTAGGTTCTTAGTCTGATTTTTCATTCTTCTATTCAATTGCTTACAAGCGTGGTTGCTTCTTTCTCCTCGTTGCACATTTCACAAATCCAGATTTAACATTTATATTAGTAATTTATCTCAGCATTTTGTTTGGTGAATGGTGAAATCGGGTGAAGCTTTAACTGTAGCAGCTGATAATCACTTTTCAGGACAGAGGTTCTAGGTGCTGACGTAATTTTTACCTTTAGTTTCTTAGGGCAGTAGTGAATACTTATCTTTCTTTAAGTTGTTGAGGAGTAAAGAGCAGATTTTTGGTTGCTAAATCTTCTGAAGGATAATGATTCTAGTTTGTTTTTTGAGGTTACTCATTTCATTAGGATGATGTTACTACACAATCATATGTTCCCACAAACACCTGTTATTTTGAGCTTTAATGGAATGGAAGATGTTACTGCTCACTGTTTGACCAGTAAATGATATTCAAAGTGCAAAGTGTACGTCTTGTTGTCTTCACTGTCATTGAGGAGTCCACCAAAACTGAAACCAGTCTTAGATTTTTGAAGCCCACACTTATCCCAAGCTTAAGCCATTTAATTTTGGCATCTTCCTGAGGTCTGCTCACAGTTAATTCGAACAAGACAATGCCACAAATGTTTGAACAATTGAACTGTGTGGTTGTGCACCTCTAGCTTGAATTGTGTTACCTGGTCTTATAGTAACCTCTTGAAAGAAGCTTCTTCTGCAGAAGGATCATATGAATAAATCACCTGCTATAGGTGATACACTCTCAGCTAAAGGTAGTCAATTAGGGGGCTGCAGACTGCAGTTACTAGAGCTGGATTATGGGTCTCCGAGCCACAGCCCTATGTAGAATAAATTAATGAGGTTTATGATTCTTAATAGGAGCAGTAAAATTAATCTTTCTACTGAATAATACTTAGAATTGGCAACAAAAGAGTTTAAATGTACCGGTGCACCTGAAAAAAGAATTTCTGGTGCCTTCTTTTCCTTTCCTGATATGAGCTTATTTGACAGGAGTCTTCCAACAGACTTTGTACGGTTGGATCAAGATATTTTGACCCCTCTTGCAGGGAAGAAGCAGCTATATACCTATGAAACCATGGATTTCTGGGAACAAATTAAAACACCAGGGTAAGCGAATCATATGAAGTGCTCATCATCCCATTTCCATTTCAAATGTCAAAATTTGAGGTGATGGGTGGGTTTATTTCTTTTGCAGGATGTCTTTGAAATGCTCCGGTCTCTACCTGGCTCAATATAGTTCCACATCACCACATCTTTTGGCAAGTGGGGATGGCTCAAAGACTGCAACCATCAGCGGTGATGTTTATATCCATCCATCTGCTAAAGTTCATCCAACTGCCAAGGTAGGAATATTTCGATACACCTACAAATAACTTGTTATGATTATTATATTATGTTATAAATTTCATGGTTGGTTATTTGGGATTAATGGTTATTTATTTTACTGCAATAACTTCTGTGATATGAAAAACAGCTAGAGGCAAATCTTGGCTCACCAGCCAAATCTGTATTGACTAGTACATGTTTGCAACACTGTAGCTCTAGGTCATCTCTTTTGTAATGAATAATTGAATATGATTCCTGGTACAGATTATGTCAGTTATTGCAGTGTTTTCTATTTTGTCAAAGCTGCACCTTTGTAAATTTATTTTAGTTAAAAGTAAAGAGATCAAATTTGATTTCTGATTAGCGTTTATGAATCTGAAGAGCTAGCTCTTGATGGTTCTTGCTTCCATTCCATGCCTCAAAAAGTTTTTTTTATATTGTTTCTCCTTACATAATTAATTGCCACAAACACTTCTGACTGCAGTTGCCCTGATTATGTGCTCACTTAGACCTCCTTCCTTCACCTATTGATGTGTCTGTTACAATGTTGAACAGATTGGTCCAAATGTTTCAATTTCTGCTAATGCTCGTATTGGAGCTGGTGCCAGGCTCATCAGTTGTATTATCCTTGATGATGTTGAAATCAAGGTACCACTTCACTATATTACAGCTCATGAGATACTTCAATGACATATGCTGGAATTTAACATGTCATTTTCCAGGAAAATGCGGTTGTTATTCATGCAATTGTTGGCTGGAAGTCTTCAATTGGCAGATGGTCAAGAGTCCAGGTAAGTAATGGAGATGGCTAAATTCTTGTTTAATGTATCAAATATATTGCTGAAAAAAGATGCTTTGGTCTCGACTCCCCAAAAATATTCCCCGAGAGGTCATTCTTAATTTGTCAGTTTGTCTGTCCTGTCAATATGTAGTGCCAGCTGGTTTCTCCTTTGGAATTTAGGAAGTAGGAAGAGCTGTCATACTACTCCTCTTTCATCAGAACTGTAGAGTAAAATAATCTGAAGAAAGTGCTTTTTCACATCAAAATTATTCATTACGCATGATATTAATTTAACTCCAAGAGTGTAATCCATGTATTATGTGAAGATCTTCAATGAGAATTCATAAGATATGCTGTACTAGTCCTTTCTCTTGGACTTTATATTCCATGCTAGCTGAATACCATTCCTCCATTATTTCATTTGCTTTCTCTAGTCCTAGTCTTCACATCAGGTATCTAAACTCTATCAAACTGATTTCAGGGTGTAGGAGACTACAACACAAAGCTCGGGATCACAATTCTTGGTAATGTATTTGTTATTCTCATATTCCTTTCTGTTACAGCTCGTACCTTTACAAAATTATCAACATTAAACTTTTGTGGTGGATTATCTAAATCAATATATTGAAACCAGGTGAATCTGTGTTGGTCGAGGATGAAGTAGTGGTAATCAACAGCATTGTTCTGCCAAACAAGACTCTTAATGTGAGTGTCCAAGAAGAGATCTTACTTTAAACACAGAGAGATGAATTTGGCAGTGCCCCCTTTTGCTAATGCTACTAAGCCATCTTCATCCCCCTAGGCTTGTATTACCATTTTAATTCTATGTATGTATTGTTTGTACATTTGAATACGGAACAATTTTGCTAGTTTACTGTTTATTTGTAATTTTCAATAGTAAGAACTGCAATAAACCCTTCTTTTCTTAATTTTATTGTTGGTCTCTCTCCCTAATAATCTATTTTTTTTTAAAAATAAATTCAAATTCATTTAGTTTCTTAAAAAGGAATGTTAGGACGTTTTGTGGTGAAGATTTCACACTAGAATATTTTCAGATATTTCTTAACCTGATTCTAAGGTCTGTTGTATACTCTAACCTCTCTAAATCCCAAGAAATTTCACTCGATATGCTGTAAAAAATAAAGAGGGAGAGGAAATCCATGTAAATTGTCAATTTGCATAAATTTCCCCTTGTTATTTTAGTAAGAAAAAATGCCAAACTTGTTCCTTTGTATTTAATTTTTTTCCCTGTTATATTATCCGAATAAAAAAGCCCTCATGTTATATATAGGTCCAAATATATCCATTTCCAATAACAGCCATTGAAGTGTTGAATGTGGGAAAAAGTTTTCAATTCACCATATAAATAACGAAAAATGTTTGATATAGTCTCCAACTTTGTGATTAAAAATTGATATATTTTTCGTAAAAAAAACTTACATATACCTATATGATTATCAAAATAACTCAAATATAATTCCTTTCCGCGGAAAGAAATAAAAATAATTGATTATAAATTTATTTTCCTAATTTTTTATTAAAATAAAGTCCATCCTTTAATTCTTCTCTTCAATAAAGTTTATCTAGAGGTTTCATGTGTATTAAGCCAGGAAAAGGTGGCTAATCGAAGAGGTCACAATGCCACAATACTGTATTGTTAATTGTGTATAAAATGCTTCCTTTGTTGCGCAAAGCCAAAAGAATGTCATGTCTTCTCTCCCAAACATCACTTCCTTCTTCAGCTGCTATTTCCGTCTGTAATTTCAAGCCAACTCACTCTCTCATCGCTCCACATCATCTTCTTCTTCCGGTAAATTCTCTTTCTTTCCTTGTGTGATCTTGATTTCGCTACGTGTAGAACTGTCAGCTATTGAATTACTTATTTGCTAAATCTTGGGAATGAAAGAGGTTGTTGGGTTTAAGACCCAAGATTGGATTTTTGGGTTCGGTGAGAGGAATGGCAACGAAAATGGATAGCATCCAGCAAAACCCAGAGGCCATTTCGTACCTAAACCAGAAAGAAGCTGCTGAAATTGATGAAATACTTATGGGTCCTCTTGGTTTCAGTGTTGATCAACTTATGGTTAGCGTCTTAATTATACCGATAATTGTGATATCTTTTGAGTTTTGACTTTCATTAGGGGATAGTTTCTAGTATGCTGGGTGATTTTGTGGGTTTGATTGCAGGAACTGGCTGGCTTGAGTGTTGCTGCTGCAATTGCTGAGGTGAGTAGAGGAATTGCTTTAAAAAGATCTCTTTGTACTTTATGTCATCACCTCCTTGACAATTTGACATGGTTGAAGATGCATTCTGACTTTTAGAATTTCAGTTTGTTTCAGTTGTATTGGATTGAGTAATTTGGTTATGTTAAATTTTGACGCAAGGTAACAATACAATTGTATAGCATCTACCCTGATTTGCGTGTCATATTTTTGAATTTCCAAAATTTTGTTTCCCCCCTGCATGTTGGACAACAATTTTTTTGTCTCCATTTCTGTCATTTTAGCAATTTTTGAGTGGATGTAGGTTCATAGACAATACCATCAGGCTATTGCTTCTTTTTTTTCCATCTTGATCCTTTGTGGGTAGTTCGTTGAGGCTGTACACTAGTGATTTTTTTCTTATGACAGGTCTACAGACCAAGTGAGTACAGTCGTGTTCTTACTATTTGCGGTCCTGGCAATAATGGCGGTGATGGTCTTGTAGCTGCTCGTCATCTATATCACTTTGGCTATAAACCATTCATATGTTACCCTAAGCGTACTGCTAAGCCTCTTTATGATGGCTTGGTAACTCAGGTATCAATTTTTGTTTAAACTTTACGAATGACAAATTTATAGTCCATTGTTCCATTAAAAGTTCCATTTATTCAACTTTCTGATAAATAAACATTTTTTCTAGCTCGAGTCGATGTCAGTTCCTTTCTTGTCATTGGAAGATTTGCCAAAGGACTTGTCTGACAGCTTTGACATTCTAGTGGATGCAATATTTGGATTCTCGTTCCATGGTATAATTTTTCTTTAGATCTTTTTGTCGTTGAGCTTCAACATGTAACAACTACTGAAATTTTAGAATCTTTTGGTTGGAACCTTTCATTTATCTTTCTTTCTATTTCTATTGTTCATGACATTTACTTTGTTTATTGATAAGTAACTCTTCATTTACCTTTTATTCCTTTTAGCATGGAAAAGAAACTGGTGAACTTCTTATGTCATTAGCAATGTAATAATCCTTTCTTTTGATCCATAAAAGACTAAAATCTGTCTTTCCGGATGAGATGACAACACAGCTGATTGCAAAGAAAGGGGATATCTGAACAGAAAAATAGAAGATGTACACTCTCAAACATAAAAAGCTATAGGACATTTTCTTGTGTTGGGAGTGGAATGTTGAGGAAGGATAATTTGGTCAAATTTTGTTTCCTGGTGGAAAGATTGTCAAATACTTAAGTTTTGTTTCAAGGCCTGGAAGTGTATAGGATGGTTTGATACCCAAAATAGATTAGAAAGGAGGGGTTTTTGTCCATGATTAACAGGAAAGGGAAAAAGTTACAAAAATAACATTTCTTAGTTTGGAGGAAAAATAGATAAAATTGAAGGGGGCAGATTGTTGAGGCAGGATAAGGATGGTTCTTTGGTCAAATTTTGTCGTGGTTTCCTGGAAGAAAAATCCACTATATTTTAGTTTGTTTTAACTTTTAAGGTCTAGATGTGTATAGAATTGTTTGATACCCAAAATAGATCAGAAAGGAGGTTATAATTAGCAGGAAAGATAATTTTTCTTATAAAATATCCTTCTATATCCCTCAGGTGGATAGCATGAAACCAAAAATAGATAAAAATTAAGAGAAACCGAGCTTCTTCTTTAGGCCTGATTATCATTGGATTTTAGATAGAACCATCGAGAAGAGAAGCACTAGATATAAGGAAGAAGCAGGAAAATTTGAAAGTGGTAACAACAAAGTAACTTTGCGAAGGTGTTTTTTTATGAAAGATTAAAAAAAAAGTTCTGGTACTGAAGTGTGTGCACCTCAATCTTTCTTTAGCTTTTGTAAGATTTCTGGTAACTTGTCCAGGTAGCCCAAGGCCACCTTTTGATGACTTAATTCAGAGACTGGTGGCACTAAAGATTAATGGCGATACACATCAGAAATCACCTGCCATCATCTCTATAGATATTCCATCTGGTTGGCATGTGGAAGAGGGGGATTTAAGTGGTGAAGGTATTAAACCTGACATGCTGGTATGTGTTTGGTTTTTATTTGTATTTAATATCTGCAACGCCTTACTTGTTTGACTTTTATTGAGCCACCTAACAAGTAAAATTTCTCGAACTTAGGTTTCTCTAACTGCCCCTAAATTGTGTGCCAAAAGGTTTTCTGGCTCGCACCACTTTTTAGGTGGCAGATTTGTTCCACCATCCATCAGGAACAAATTTAATCTCCAATTACCAGCATATCCTGGCACTTCCATGTGCGTCCGTATTGGCAAGCCCCCAAAAATTGACATATCATCTCTGAGGGAGAACTATATTTCTCCTGCGTTGCTTGAGGAAGAGGTCGTCGCTGACCCCTTTGATCAGGTATGAGTTGATGTAATCATGTAAAACAGAGTGGATGATGACTGATGACTTTATTTTTTTAAAATTTTATTAAGAGATAGTTGGCCATATTCCAGGTGTCACTAATTCTAATCCATGTTTCTTGAATTTTCACTGTGATTTTGTGTACCTAATTCTCCTGTTGCTTTATAATTACATCAACCTTGACTTTTGCAGTTCCAAAAGTGGTTTGATGATGCAATGGCGGCAGGCTTGAAGGAACCAAATGCCATGGCCTTGTCAACTACTGGCAAAGATGGCAAGCCGTGAGTGTCTCACGTTGCTTTTGCTAAAATTAGTTCATTTTATTTTTTAACCCACCTGCTGTAATAATATGCAACTCTAAGACTTTACCTCTTTCTTTCCCCCTCTCTTACATTATCAATCACCAAGAAATTGTGATGAGAGCTATATCATCTAGAGAACTTTCATATAGCAGTTTTGGTTCACGCTCAATTGTGAAACTGGCAACAGTCCTTCTATGAGAATTAGCAGGATGTTTAAGGAAAATCTTGTAACCATAATAAAAAGCTAGATCATTAGGATTTTTTGCAAGATTATTGGTTCATATGAATCTCTGATTAACGTCTCAAATTGTTTATGTATTGGTTCTTGTTAAGTGCTTAGGTATGTTTTCATATCTCTTTCTTGAACCATAAACTTGTATCATTTTATGACTTTTTAACTGAAGTTCATCAAGGATCGTATTGCTGAAAGGGGTTGACAAGGATGGTTTTGTCTGGTTAGTTCTGCTCATCTTTATGCTAGTGCATCCTAATGCCATTCAGAAGACACTAGTTTGTTATTTCATTCTTATATAGAGTCTCCCCTGTGCAGGTACACCAATTATGAAGGCAGAAAAGGTCAACAAATAGCTGAAAATCCTCATGCCGCACTCCTCTTTTATTGGGATGATTTGAACCGCCAGGTATAGTCTGACTTAACTATCTATAATAGAGAATCTGTCAGTGTATTTATTCTCATTCTTCAAGGAGAAAGACTTATGCAGTGTATGAGGAGGCTATCAATACCCTGTTTACTATTTGCTAGCATAGACTAAAATTCAAGTTGTTGCATCTCTCAGCATATAGGTTGAGCATGGAATATGTATATGATATTATACTTTACTAGACCTACTTAGTTGCCTGCCAGATTAAAAGGGAAGAAACTTTGTAATTTGTAGTGTTTATATAAAGCACTCATTTTGTGTGGTGTTTTATGAATAAAAATTACCTATTAAAAGAAACTCAAATCCATGTGCAAGCTACATTAATTGTTGAACAATATGTCATGGTTGTATCTCCTGCTGCCGTTGAATTATTCTGAATGGATCTTAAAACAACAGTGTGGTCTCTAGGTAAGAATCGAAGGGCCGGTGCAAAAAGTTTCTGATGAGGAATCTGAGCAATATTTTCACAGTCGTCCTCGGGGAAGTCAGATTGGTGCCATAGTTAGCCAGCAGGTATGCAAGTTTCTTAGTATAATTTTTGAAATTGTTTCTTTAACTTTGTATGTCTGTAACTGCCTTTTATTTGCTCATATAATTTGCAAACATTTGTCTCTTGCTTTTCCTAGAGCACAGTTATTCCGGGAAGGCATGTCCTCCTTGACGAATACAAACAGTTGGAGGCAAAATACTCTGATGGGTTAGTATCTAGTTTTAACTAATCAACTGATTTGGAATGCCAAAGCCAAATGCTATGATGTTTCTGTATCTGCACCATTCAAAACATGGTTTCTCCTGTTCTCATACTTGTGCTCAACTTTATTTTATGTAATCCATTGCCATACTTTAGGAAATATGTGATAGTATATAGTAAAATTCCTCCCCCAATTCACAATCCCTTTGAAAGAGAACTTGAGGAACATTTTTTGTGGAACTGCCTATATAGGAAATCAGGTACAACTAATACCCCATAAAAAATTCATTAAGAGAAAATGGGAATTCATAAGTGGGAGTGAGAAATACTCCCTCCATCCCATATTAGTTGTCATGTTTTACTTCTCAAGAGTCAATTTGACTAATCTTCGGAGCTAAATTGGATTAGATTAATTCAATATTTTAAAATTATAATTTAAATATTCAAAAACTACACGAAAAGTACTATAAATTATAATTCTTTTCATATCAATATGGTGAAAAATATATGTTAAAACGCCGGTCAAAGTTAATCTAGTTTGACTCTCGAAAAGGAAACATGACAAGTATTATCGGACGGAGGGAGTAACAAAAACTAAAATCCATAAGTTGAGTTCTCATACGGTTCTATAGGTTTAAAAGTTTCCTTATGCTGCATCAAGAAATAATTGAAAGTTGAATCCCAAATATGTTGTTCTAAACTTCCCAGTTGGGATGTAAGGTTTCCCCTTTTTTTTTTTAGATGAAATAAAAAGGTTTCATTGAAAGCATACAAAAGATGCAAAAGAGGTAGTATATTTGAGCTTACAAAAAGGTTGTATTAATCTCTTTACATAAGTGGCTATTACAAGACCCAGGGAGACTACAGGGGCCAGGGGGGACATAATGTCACAGCTACACAATAACATAAGACACCTAGACTTTAACAGAATGGTTAAGGGTTGAAGGTTGATAAACCATCAGAACATCTACTATTTCTTTCTAACCATAAGCACCAACAAATGCGAGCTGGAATCATCATCCATGTGCTTCTGATGGCTTTACCAATTTCCCGGCAGCTCCAACATTCATAAGCTTCTTTAAAGCTTTGCGGCATGACCCAACTGAGACCAAAAATAGAGAGAAACATACTGCACAAATCAGTTGCAACTTAACAATATAATAAAGGTGGTTGTTGGTTTCCAAGCTCTTGCAACACATAAGACATCTGTTCACGGTCTGAATGCCCCTTTTGCTGAGATTGTCTTGGGTAGGGAAGGCCTCATGTAGAGCTGTCCACTGCAGATGAATCTTTTTGTTTGCAGTGGTAAGTATAAATGCATGTGTATACGGTAAGCTGTCAATTGATTCTTTTATCTATGCCTGCCCGGCTGAGCAAGTCGAATTAGATTTCATCAGTAGGTTCAACCAAAGCTCAGCCTTGAAAAGTGTTAATTTAATATCAGTAAATTGTTAAAGATTATAACGACATTTAGTCTGAAAATCGTAGATCAATAATCGATGTATCAAGTAAATTATAATGGCATTTAATTTGATAATGGTAGATCAATAGATTGTTTGTGAAAGGAGAGGAAAAGAACTAAAGAACAATATATCTACGAACAACTTGGACCCCAGCCTAATAAAGCTCAGACTTGCCTTTTGCTGAGGTCGGACTTCAAATTTAAACTTAGCCCTCCCAGATTCAATTTGGGCACAGCTTCAGAAATGGTGCTTAATGAGCTCATTTACGCTGTTCAGTTTCTATTTTGGTGTATGTGCTATTATGTAGTGCAGTACTTTCATGTTCATATATAATTAAAACCAACTAATTCTGTCTCCTATAAGCTGATTAAAAAAATCTGTCTCCTGTAATGCAACCACTATAGTAATTTGTCATTTCTCTTCCCCCACTTCATGCTCATAAATTTCACTCCCATATCCTTGAAAGGACTTGACTACCTATTTTGTCTCATCTGCAGAAGCGTGATTCCCAAACCAAAATACTGGGGAGGCTACCGGCTTAAACCTGAAATGTTTGAATTTTGGCAAGGACAGAAATCTCGCTTGCATGACAGGTATTGACTACAGGATGTCTCGTCCAAAGACTTCCATATTATGCTAGGAATGTATCCAACTCAGAGAAGTAATAAAGTGTTTCCTTTTTGATTTGTAAGAGAGATATTACGGATGCAATTTTCTAGGCAGCTCAACATTTTAGAAGAGAATGTGACATAAAAGTACAAGAATGTAGTGGAAAAGAGATATGGAGTGTTGAGCAAAACACTATATATCAATTTAGAAAATTTGAATGAATAAATAGAATAGAGTTGGGAGAATTTAGTAATCTGGGACCCACGAACTTTAGTAGTTTTTATACTGAATGCTCCTTGTGAAACGGATTTCCATATTTATCAACTCAATATAGACAAATGGTTTCTTAAAAATACTCTCATATGTTTCTCCATATTTGAACTACACTTTGATGAGATTTCCAGATTAACTTCAGTGTGTCTTACTCTTTAGAACTTTAGGTTGCTCTTTTTTTCCATATAATTTATGGCTACATTTGGTTTATGCTATTGCAGGTTGTGTTACATCCTGGAAACAGTTGATGGAAAAACAGCGTGGAGGATTGAACGATTGGCTCCATGACTTGTGTTGAGAACATCCTCATTATGAGGATGCCAATTTGTGTACTTTCTTCCGTTAGCCTTTCCCTTTCTCCTCTCTCCGCAGGCCCGCCTATTGATCATGTGTGTATATCGTGGAGTCGACGCAACTTTCCAGACACCAATAAAATTTGCCATTTTTATCAGATTATTGATTAACAGTTATAATAGAGATTTACATGTAATTACATTATAAGCAACGTCGGTCATAGAACTCTTGCTGCATGGTTTCCTTCTCTCTGTTTTTTGTTGCTGCAACAGTGCAACTTATTGCGGGTAAAACTTACCGCACGAGGTGTTTAGCATGTCATGTGTTTAAATTTATAGTTCATTTTACTTTATTAAATCACGTAATAATGGAAATTGCATTGGTTTGGTGTAAACACCCGGTGCGGATAAGTTGCTGGTATTTGCTTCTCGTTGCTTTCTCATTTGATATTTGTAAGATGAAAAAGCTACAGAATGACTAATCGACAATTTGTGAGTAGTGTAGTCACAAGTTTGACCAACACTGTCTATTTCACAATATTATATTATGTGTTTAAGTAACTAACCAGTCACCACCATTGTGGATTGTGGGGAGTGGTAAGTAATCCTCCATCTTCGTTCGCCTTTGGCAAGTAGCCTTTACCAAAAGGGACTTTTTGCGCGAAATGCCCAAAGTGAGTAGTAATCAAAAGAGAAACTAACCAATGTAGCGCTTGTGGAATAAATCCCTTGATGATTTATCAGTTATATTTATATTTGTATCATTAAGATAGACTGGTGTAGAAATTCCAGAAGCATCTTTTCAATTTAATAGATTCTGAATTACGACTATGCTTTTCCAATAATGTATTTCGTTATTATAAATTAAAGATGAATTTATTTCTGTTAACGGGAAGGGGAATTTTTTCGAAATGAGGAGCGAAGTTATGTTATGTACAATAATAATTCGAGGACACTCCAGGGAGTGTAGAAGGAACTAAAAAGTATCGATTGTTGTGTTTTGGAGCTGAGGAACATGGAGAGCAAAGAGGAGATATCATATGTGAGCCAGCAAGAAGCCATAGAAATTGATCAGATGTTGATGAGTCCTCTTGGTTTTACTGTGGATCAGCTCATGGTTTCTCCTCTGATTTTTTTTTTTAGATGTTACTACTTCTTAAATTTCTCTACTTATCCCTAAATTGGGTTTTACTTGTTTTGAGTTTAGGAATTGGCAGGCTTGAGTGTTGCCTCTGCAATTGGAGAGGTAAGTGCTCTCATGGCATACTGGTATAATATTGTTCCACTTGTAGCACTCGACTCTGCCACCAGTGGGAAAGCAGTATTTTTAAGAGAGGGTGGGTTTTAGTAGCGGAAATCACCTGTTCAAGCTATTGCCTGTTATAAATTATCACTGTTGGATGGTGCAAACACAATTTGGCAATTAGAGTTCATGTAGTTATTGACTCTACAACCTTTTCGATCAAACTAGACGGACATAACCGTTTTCATATATCACCTAGTTGAAATAAACTCATACGTGATGGATTCAGTAGTTGAAGTTCATGGGTTCCTACAACAATGTCTAGTCAAGTTGATATTCAATAGTAATTGGGTTCACAGTCAAATATTTCATAGATATTTAGTGAATTTCTATGGGGTTGACAAAAGCGACTGGTTTATGTTAACCCAGTGCTACAACGCTAGATCTCCCTCTGTTGTTGTGCCTAGTCTCATAGAAGCCATGGTTAAAGATCATTTGTTTCTGAGAGGGTTAGTTGAAGAAGAGATTGACATCAAAGCTAGTAACCTAGGGAGAACTTGGAATCGGTGATAAGTGATGTGTTGACAGGAAAGGCAGAACATATGTTAAGTGTATAAACAAGCAATCGCTTGGTTTGTTAAAGTATTACTTCTTTATTTCGTTCCTCGCCGTGTGATTAACAAGATGAAATGCATGTCATCTCTCCAGGTCTATAGTCCAAGTGAATATACTCATGTGCTTGTTATATGTGGTCCTGGTAACAATGGTGGGGATGGTCTTGTAGCTGCTCGACACTTGCATCACTTTGGTTATAAGCCCTCCATTTGTTATCCAAAGCGGAATACTGAACCTCCTTTTGCTGGTCTGGTTACCCAGGTAGAGGATATGACATGAAATTCTTGAACCTCAATATTTCTAGTTTATTTGAGATGTTAATGGATGTGAGAATTTTGGTAGCTTGAGTCACTGTCAGTTCCATTCTTGCCAGTGGAAGATCTACCCGTGCAACTTTCAAGTGACTTTGAAATTATAGTGGATGCAATTTTTGGATTCTCATTCCATGGTAATACTTCCTTTCTCAGTTTCTGTTTGACATTCCCATTAGTTTTTCTCTTTGCTGAGAAGGCCAAGACTGCTATTGAATGCTACATAACTTCTATAGCTGTGTGCCTAACTTGTTAGTCTTATTCTTTGCATAAGTTGGTTTGAGTCATTCATTATCCACCATATATGTGGGTATACAGCGTTAAAAGTAATTTGCTGTTATTGAGGACTTTGACCTTCTGGTTCTTCATTTCTTAGAGATCTTGTGTCCTTCCTATCTTTTTTTCCTTTTCCTTCTACTTATTTAGGGCTGTTTCACAAATAGATTAGTCAATATAATTTTGCCCTGGAGCTAGCTAGAATATCTTTCCTTAAAAACACAAATCTGGCATTATGTGAATAAACTTTAGGTCTCCCAAGGTGTCAGAAGTGTTTCTGAGCATATTAATTCTTTCCAGGGAACCTAAGGCCACCGTTTGATAGTCTCATTAGAAGGATGGTCTCCATAAAAACCCAGCAGCGCACACATGAAATAGCAGCTGTCGTTATATCTGTAGACATACCTTTCGGGTGGCATGTGGAAGAGGGAGACATTTGTGGTGAAGGCATTGAACCTGATATGCTGGTATAGAGTTGTTAAGTACTCACATTCTATTGTTATCATGCCTTTTTCTCGTTGATAATTCTGTTTTTCCTTTGAGAATCAAGGGAAATACCTAAAGAAAACTTTGGACATTCACTGTGTACCTCTTTGACTGCTCCAAAATTGTGTGCCAAAATGTTTTGTGGCCCGCATCATTTTTTGGGTGGAAGATTTGTTCCACGATCCATCATAGACAAATTCAAGTTAAAACTTCCATCGTATCCCGGCACTTCCATGTGTGTTCGAATTGGAAATCTTCCAGAAACCAATTTATCAGCACAGAAAGGGATATTTACAGCTTCTGTAAATCTTGAGGTGGAGGAAAATCCTATTGATCAGGTTGAGTTGTATAAAGTATATCTAGAACTTTGACTCTCTTGTGGTAATTTTATCGCAAGTTTGTTAGATAATCCAGAAATGTATGCAAACTTCTTTTCTTAAAAGCAATGCAGTATATTTATACTTGTGGCAATCAAGCCCCATTCTGATTGCAGTTTCAAAAGTGGCTTGGTGATGCATTGGAAGCTGGTGTCAAAGAACCCCATTATATGGTCCTATCAACAGCTGGTAAAGATGCAAAACCGTAAGTCTTTTGAGCTTCAATTTTCTCTGTGTTTACATGATCTGCAAGTTAATATTACAGTGATTGTTTGCCTGATGTTGACTGTAGTATTTCTTCTTCCCAGTTCATCGCGAATGGTATCATTGGAAGGAGTAAACAAAGATGGTTTTGTCTGGTGAGCTCCATAACTATTTCTGAATTATATATATTCTATTAAATGACATCCTTCTTGTTTCTGCAGGCACACCAACTATAGGAGTCAAAAGGCTCGTGAAATTTCTGAAAATCCTCATGCATCACTTCTCTTTTACTGGGGCCCTATAAAATGCCAGGTTAAAACAATTCCATCTTTAGCACTTCCTGCAATTTGGGAGAGCACTAATATCTAGTGTCTATTAACAATTTAACATACATGAAAATGTCCAGTGATAGCTTTACAAATCCTGTCCTGGATATGCATTCAATTACTTGAGAGTGATCTGCAGGATTGTGTTGGGTAGATGAGTTGCTGAAGAGATGTAGTTATGAACTACTATCTATGCACAATCAGAAATTTGTTGTTTACCGTTCCTTGTTAGAATCCAAGGTTCAGTTTCCCTATGATAAAATAAAAATGTAAAGAGAGACAGAAAGAGGAAATCATGATTACTGTGCATACTCCCTTAAAACCTCAAATAGACATTTTCTTTATCATCATTGCATTTATTCTCTGAGAGATAATTCACTGACTACATATAATGCATTTACCATTAGATAATTGTTCTTGATGTGCTTCATTACGAATTCATTTGTAGGTAAGAGTGGAGGGATTTGTGGAGCAAGTTTCTGATGAGGAATCTGAACAATCCTTCTCTAGTCTTCCTCGAGATATCCAGATTAGACCAACAGTTAGCAAACAGGTTTGTCTAGTATTTTCAGCAATAGAGTTTCTAGATTCCGATACTTTGATGTTTCTGTATACATGCATCAACAGCTAGTTTCCAATCTCTTCTGCAAGTTCAGAGCACACTGATTCATGGACGAGAGGTTCTCCATCAACAGTACAAAGAATTCGAGGAGAAGTACCATGACAGGTAAGTAATTTCACATATTGCTGGACATTCTTTCTTTGCTTGTCCTAATCTGTATTTAGCTCTGCTGGTTTCAATATTCCATCTGTGCCTAGCAGAAGTATTCTATTGGTTGGGATACAGTTAAGATGCATATCAGTTATGTGATTGTTGTCCCATGCTTAGAATTAGTGCATATCATTTTAGCATTTACAATATTTAGATCGAATTCTTCAATAGTTGCTTCTCATTGTTCGAACATGTAAAAGACGTAACTTTTGTGTATGCATTCTTCGAAAAATGTCTGACCAAGACTTGTTGATTACAACCTAATCATACTTTCTTTTTCTTTCTCTAAAGAAAAGTAGTTTTTTAGTCTAGATTCAAGTGAACCTCAAAGCAATTCTTTTTCCCTAACATGCAGATCTTCAATACCAAGACCCAAACACTGGGGTGGCTACAGGCTTATTCCAGAATTTTTTGAGTTTTGGCAGGGAGAGGAATCTCAAGTGCACCTCAAGTATGTCCAAACCCATCTTTCTTTTATTATTTCATCACGATAATTCCTATGGATCTACCAAATTGATCTCTGTTTAAATTCAATTAATCTGGAATCTGTACTAAAATTTGATTTTGGGTTCAATAGAAAGATCACAACAAAAAAATGGGTACTGAATGGGAGAACACTTGGACATACCTCTTTTAGGTGTTTCATATATGGCATTGGAATGGTTACTTGTATAGTATTATTTTAAAAACTAGCTATAAAACCTCTGTCCAGAGGGTTGAAAGAACAGATCTCCAGCATCAGTAGTATAAAAAGAGAATAGACTTGTACGAGTGTTAATGGGGCAATCCCTTTACCAGTAAAAGATTCTCTATAATATCTCCTACCAACTTGACTGAGTAGAACTAAAGCTATATTTCAACAGATTTACTGTTATAATTTGAGCTGAAATGATTCTAGATATTCATTGCTGTTGACTTATGATTTAAGTGTGCTGTCGTTAATAGATTTCGGTACTATGCGGAGGAGATTGATGGAAGAAGAGTATGGACAATTCATAGATTGGTCCCACAATTAGCAGAATCAGCATCTTCATTATGACTTGCCATCTCTTTGAACTTGGCAAAAATGCACCAGTGCATGCATATGATAGGAAGCTAGCAATTAAATCGCTTCTTTTCCTGTTTTCCCTTCTGATTACCTTTTCTTGGGTAGGATATTGCTTTTGGAATGTGATATAACATTACTGAGGGTGTACATATGTATTACCAGAAATTGTTTACTTGCTCATTATCTCTTTGTAAGTATCTCCGTGCTGATTTGCATAGTATTTCCCTTCTACTTCTATTCTGAGGTTGTACATATGTGTTGCCAAAAAGCGTTTACTTGCTCATTATCTCTTTGAAAGTATCTCCGTGCTGATTTCCCTTCTACTTCTATTTCAGATGGCGATTGTCTTTTCTTTCCTTTCCCTGTTTGGCTCATTAAAATTGTTGGGAAAATTGGGTCTCTAGGTCTGTCCCAGGTTCAATTCCCAATAGACAAAATAATAGTAGGTGATTTCTTACCAGCCATGATAGATAGAATTACTTGGTACCTGTGTTCTGGTGGGAGGTAGCAAGTGCCCCATGGAATTAATCTAGGTGTGCAGAAGTTGGTTCAAACACCACAATTTCAAAAAGGCATTGGCAATAGACAGTTCAGGTCTTCACTCCAATAGACAGATTAACTCAAACATTGGCAAATTGAAAAGGATTTGTGCAACTATGCTCCAAATTGAGCTGAGTAATAAGTTGATCTGATGGCAAAGGAATAGGATGGCTGTTCAAAAATTAGGTTAGATCATGGGGCTGTGGATAAAGCCTGTCGATATGAATGAGTTGATTAGAGTTTCTAATAAGTTTACCAGATACTGTAAAGGTTGGTAGCCCAAAATTAACCTGCAAATTGGATTTTGAATTTACCCAACGCATCAAAATGGATATATTGGGGGTATGCAAATTAACGAGGCAACAATAGCCCTAAATTTATTACCTCTATAACAACTATGTTTTGCCATAAAGCATGTCAATCCTTTCAAGAATCACTATTAACCGAAAAGATATCGAAAATGTACATCAAATTACTGTTGAATGCAACGAGAATGTGCATTCGACCATGTCTAGTTTGTGAAGGCAGTTAACTTCAATATCCTGTTCTTATCAATAAAGAACACATCAGGAGATCAGCTGAATTGGGTTCTTCCCAGCAACTTCCAAGTACCATGATTTCCATGCTTCCACATAATGTGCAAAGAGATCTTTCAGCGCTGAAACATAACAAACAAACAAGACTTGCTAGTAAGCTCAAGTACATCGAATGAGCTAAAAATGTAAGAATAATTTGTCTATACTGCTTTGATAATATGTCAGCATAGATAAGAACTTGTGTCAAATAAACAGTAAATGCAATCTAAAAAAGTTAGTTTCACATCTTATGCAAAAGTTAATTTGGTTAATAAGTAACACATACTAAACGCGTCTATATCATCATATGGAGCAAATAACCAGCCAGCAGAGCAATTTGAGAATAGACCAGATGTATAACATGATTGAATTACCTGTTTTAGTGCACTAGAAAAAGAAATTTAAACATAATAATCCATACCCTGGTAGATGATGGATCACATTAACAAGAGCTTACTTGCTGTCAAAGTTTAAAGAGCAAAACACCAATTTTGCAAAAGTAACTTCAGACTCTCAATGTGGTATTCCTAAGAAAAGGGTAGGACACATAGCATCCAATTAAAAATGACACTTAAAGGGTTGAGCTCAGGAAAATTATAAAAGCTTCTTAATGAGGGTAGATCAGTAGACACTACTTTTTGTTTCTAATTTGGTTTGCCTTCTAATATTTATAATCCTCTGAATGATTATCAATTGAATCATACTAAATTTGAGAGGATGAAATTTCAAGCAAAATGAAACTCATCATACCTTGGTTGTGATATTGAGGACGGTAACTGGAGGCTAGACTTTCCCAATCATGAACCCGTTTCATTCTGTCAGCCTCAGAAACTTCAGCTTGAGGTATGGTTGGAGGAGCAAATGGACCAAATTGGTAACTCTTTTTGCTCGCTGTTAAACCAGGCTCCTGTTTAGGAATGTGAAAATCATTTTCCATGTTCTCACATTTCACTTCAGTTAGCAATTGTTTTCGAGTTGTTTCATCTGAAATACCATCCATAGGTAGAGCAACTCTGTTCCTCTTGATAGTTGTGTTTGTAAGCTCAGTCCCAAATACCCTCTTCTTGGACTCAATAGCACAAAAGGCATCAACTGATTTATATTCTGATCTTCCTCTCAGCCCCAACCATCTAAATGCAGGTTTCCTCGTATCTGGATGATGGGTCTACAAGTCATGCGAGCAGCACTATTAGTGACTGGAGTTTCTTATACAAAACTTTACCTAGATAAGGGTTGAATTTCCAGATATTGTCTTCCTGATGATAATTACCTTCTCAATATATCTCATTGAAGACAAAACATTTGCGATATCATACAGCCTCCTAACTTTAGCTGCATAGATAAGAAAGAACAGCATTACTTGAAGGAGCATAGATTGGCAGCACAGTTGAATTATAAGAAATAACAGTTTATGCATTAGTAGTTCAGATTACTCTTAAGCAAGAAAAAAAGGTGTAGACTTTTTACTTCTTGTCATGGCAGGAGGCCTCCCATCTCCTAACAATATCTTTGCTGCCTCATCAAGGCAAATCATGTCAACCTGAACAGAATCACCACAGAGAATTAGGGTCTGTTGAAAGCAAATTGAGAAACAAAGTTGTACAGTTGAAAGTTTTTTACTTACATTGGTGCAGAGGAAGAGCTTCACAAAATTCTGTGTAAGCAGTCCCAATGATTTTTCCCTCCTATTTTCTGTTAAAACATAGCCCGATATCTCAGAAATTAGTCCCAAAGTATCAATTTACATCTAAATAATTGAATGGCAATTTACAAGTACCACTTGAAAGAGGGGAAAGGGAAGCAAATTTACCAGATTTAACTGGCGCTGCAGAGTTGACACCAGAGTTGGAGCTTAGTTTATCAGTCTGACTCGAAGTGATTAGGTTGGAATCTCTATCATCCTCATCATCATCTGAACCCTGAGACTATGGAGCAAAAAGAAGGAAACAGTGTTATCTCGCTAGACTTAAGGCTAACCCAAGCAATATTCAAGAACGCGAATCACCAATTACTTACCTTGGCAGAGCTAGATCCATCAAATCCACTGACATTCTCCTTAAGACCCTCTTCCTATCCAATTATAAACAGAATTTAGCAAGCCAAAAAAGTGGCACATAGATCCAAGATATAAAAGTTTAAACTTGTGTGTTTACCTTCAACTGTTCCAAAGTCCTCGGAATTGCTCCTAACCCTTTCCATGAATACCTATTCTTAGCCTTCCTAGCAAGAACCTAAATTTATAAAAATCAAAAACTATAAGATTTATAAATAAAAATAGAATCTTTTAATTCAAAAACCAAAAATTGTTACGATATTCCAATTAATAGATCTTACACCAATGCTTTCCAGTACATTCACAATATCATAGATCCGCCGTCTTTCAACCCCTACATGGGAACCCAAAACAAACCCATAAATATCAATCCAAATCAGACCCTCAACAACAAAAAATAAATATCAAGAATAATATCAGTACCCAATCTCCGAGCAGCATCATCAAGCCCAATAGTTTCCACACCTTCCCGATCATACAAGCTCAAAAAACTACACCCAATTCACAAAAACACAAAAATAATCAGCAAATGTTCAGATTCATTCTCAAAACATCAAAGGCATAAAAGGGCATAAGAAAACCACACACTTTGAACATAAGAGACCAAGTGATTTCTGTTTCCGACAATAAGTAGATCTAGATTCTTTCGAAGGATCTGAAGCTAAAGCCATGATTAAAAAAAAGTTCTTTCGACGAAACTCCAAACAAATTCAAACAAAGTGTTTATTACGAAGCTCTTGCAGGAAGAGAGAGAAGTTAAATGGAGAAGAAGGAGCCGTTAAGAAAGGGTTTGTTGAATTTGGCGGGGTGGAAATAAGCCATTGGAGGGTTTTTGAAAGTTTGAATTTCAGATTCTACAGCGGGAATTTGAGTTTTCTTCCCTAGATGGCCGCGCCTATGTACACTGAATTGACGGTTTTGACCTTGCTAGTGCTTCCGTGGTCCGCGCGCTTGTAGGAGGTTATATTTGGAAATTCACGGGGAACATGAGAAATGGGGAATCTGATGATGACACATGCATAATCACGTGGTTAGATTTGTTTTTTAGTATATAATAGAGCTGCCTTCTATTGAGGAAAAATATCTAAAAAGGTTGTTTGGGCGCCGAAGTAATGAAATTTTGGTCACAAAATGAATACAATTTGTAGATACATTAGAAGAAAATATAATATAATTTTGAAAGAAAATTTTTGAACTACGATATGATTAACTAGAATCATTTCTTCTTTAAGATTTGTTCATTGTGGTTAAACAATTTTTGTAATGATTTTACAAATTTATGTGTTGCCCGATGACATACATATTCAGAAAAACAAATTTATTTTTATTTGCATGCATAGTTAGAAGTCTAGAAGTAGTATTGGTAAAAATTAGCTATAAATTTAATGTTTCGTGGCTAAGTAAGAATACTTATTGCTACGAGATATCTTTTGATGTGGCTATATTGGTAAACTTAAAATTGCAAAGGTAGCTTTGATTCGAAACTTGTATGTGTTAACAATGCACTAAATAAGTACAAATAATTGATTACAAACACAGTAAATCAAATGAATTTTGGTGGAAATCAAATCTATGAACTTCAAATATACACGGATTTTGTTTTAGTTGGATGTCATTGTCCTTATTGTGTTGCGACTTGCGTATATATCAATATATAACAAGTAGAGATATCTGGTAGAAGCAAAAATGGGAACACTTTTGAGATCGTTGAATGAAATTGTGCACCTCAATTTGCATAATTTGCAACTCCACGTCTCTAAATTTCTCTAGCAAAATCTTGATTACCAGTTAATAGAGGCCATTTAGGAACCGGCTAAAGGTAAATCTTCGAGGACGAAATTCTCTGTCGATAATTTCCCAGCCAGTGGCCTCTAGCAGAGTCTTCTTCTTGTCAGCACCCGCTGCACCTGCTTTCTTTGGTAACTTCTTCCCTACCTTTGGCTTCTTGCCTGCTGATGCTATTTCAGCTTCTTTCTCCTCTGTTGCTGCTGGTTTCTGCTCTGCTAGCTTTTTCTCTGCTTTTGGTGCCATTGAAAGTGAAATTCGGAATCAGAAAATGGGTTTTAGTATAAAGTAAATAGAAGATTTCTATTTGCTAGCTTACGAATTGATGAGTTTGTGTTGGTTGTAAAGTACACAGTTTTAAGAAAAAGAAGGAACCACATCAGCCTATTGTCTACTAGGATATGGTGCTACTATCCCATCACTGCAAGTTTACATTTTACAGACAGGTTGGTTAGAAACACTCAGCTAAAAAAAATTGCAAAATAAGTCCAACAGGTATCAGATTAAAAGAACTACTCCGAATAGAACTGAATAAAATTAGATCAAAAATCTATTAATCTGCATTCTCTTATACCATGTTTGTAAGGGCTGTAGTAAATGTAGTGGCGGAGCTAATATATTAGGAGAACCTGTTCGCTTTGAGTATGTAATCATGTAGCGTTTCTAGTCTTTTATAATGATGCTGAAGCCTGAAGCATTAGTTGAGGTTAGATGGGAAAATAGATCTCATCTATCCTACACACATTGCATAAACATCAGGAGTTTTAAGTGCTCTTCGTGTTTCACAAAAATGCCAAAGATTGGCAATTCAAACGTTCTAATGAGTCGCTATATATCCTACAGCTTTTGGTTGTTGAAAGTAATGATCACAGGAAAAGAGAACTGCCTGTCTCTGATCCAAGCACAGCAATCCACTTATGCATAAACTGTGTACTTCACGACAAGCTGAAACTAAAAGGCAGCTATCCTGCAGCAATACAGGCCGACAACCTTATATAAGACGGAGAACTGACTTATCCAACACCTTAAGGAAAATTAGAAAGAAATTGCCATTCCAAATAGATGAAATCAGAATATAAACAATTGACTATTATAAAGTTCCGGACTTGAATTGATGCAAGATAGTTAATGATCACAAAAAGATGAACACAAAAGTTTATATCTTTGCGTAGAGTTATATCTCCTTGTTGCTTCAATCAAAGACTGCAATCACAGAAAAGGAGTCCGAAAACGCAAAGAATTCAAAATGCCAGCATGTTCAGCAACTAGTTTCTTTGGGATCAAGCAGATGAAGAGAGCACATATAAAACTTGACACAGAATTAAATTGCCTATTGAACAGTCTCCCCTTTTGGGGGTAAAAACAACATCATCAAAGATGTTCATCAACTTAGAAATTACGAACTCATAATCTTAAACTTAAAACAGCAAAGGTTCAATAAGATTTGCGGGGGAGTTGCTAAGACTTGGGGTAATTCAGTAAATGTATAACCCCACTTTATTTTCTAACCTTCATGTTTCCTTCATCAAGAATAAAGGAGGGAAAAATATACCTGTATACAGGTATGTGATTTTATCTGGATGTCACTGCCCTTTCTCTGTGGTGGATATATCAATAACAAGAAGTAATGAATTTATCCAATACAAGTGAAAATGGGAACACTTTGAGATGCACCTCCTTCAAGTCATGGGCCACAGTCAGAGTACCCTGCTAAATAACACAAGCCCTTATCAATGTCAAGTCTCTGTGCTCGTGAGTTGCTGTATAAAGATAATGGTGTGCTTTTTAAGTCATTTTCATCTATGAAGCTCGGACTCTTTAAAAATGCCGACAGGTGCATGTCAGATCCTTCCAAAGTTGTGCATTTTTGGAGGATCTACCACGGGTGCAGCAATATTTTTGGAGAGTCCGAGCATCATATATTTTCATCTCAAATTCTTCAGATTCATCATACTTATCCACATCTTACCACACTCCAAGATTGACTTTCACGAGACGCAACAAACATGCTCTTGAGCTGCTGCATTAAGATAATGGCATGCTTTTTAAGTCATTTTCATCTCAAACTCTTCACATTCATCATGCCCGTCCATGGCACGTGACAAACCCATCTCAGATTTAGAGCTTTACTGTTTCATTAGGCTTCAAAAGGGCACTTAGTTTGGTATCATACCTATGCTGTTGTGCTCACAATTTAAAATGACAGGGGAGGCGGCCAGATTTGCTTACTAACCTCAAAATCTCCTTCGCAAAATCTTGATTGCCAGTTAGCAAAAGACCATTTAGGACCCGGTTGAAGGTAAATTTTCGAGGAAGAAACCCTCTGTCAACCATTTCTGTCAATAATTTCCCAGCCACTAATAAATCATCTGATTTTTTCCTCACAAACATTGCACTTATCAAGATATTGTATGTATCCAAATTAGGTAAACAATCCCCGGTACTCATCCTCTCAAACACCCTCAGGCTCTTCTCAATTTCCCCTTCATCACAATAGTATCGGATGACAACATTATAAGTCTGAACATTTGGTTCACACCCATCCTCGTTCATCTTATCCATATACTCCATAGCATTGTCCATTTTTCCGACATGGCACAATCCCCTTATAATGGCATTATAAGTTGTGGCATTCGGCAAATAACCTTTCCTCAACATCTCATTGAAAATTAAAATAGCATTTTCCACACTATCTTTCTTACACATAACTTGTATCAGAGCATTATAAGTTGCAACAGAGGGAAGTATACCAGCCCCCACCATCTCATTGAACAACTTTTGAGCCTTCTCAACCTCACCCGCAACACCAAACCCGTGAACTATAGTAGTGTAAGTCACAACATCAATATCACATTTCCTTTTCTTCATCTGCAAAAAGAATTCCCAAGCTTCCTTAATCTGCCCTGCTCTAAAGAACCCATTAAGCATTATATTATATGTAGTTATGGTTGGATTCAGACCTCTCTCCACCATTTCTTTCAAAATTTCTTGTGCTTTGGGTGTCCTCTTAACTAAACAAAACCCATTCGCAAGTGTATTATAACTAATTGTATCAGCTTTAAACCTGCTCCTGAACATCTTGAACAACTTAAGAGCCATCTCGGCCCGTTTTGATTTGCAAAGCACGTCGAGAAATGCATTGAAAGAATTCAAATCTTGAGGGCAACCATGTTTATGCATAGACAGGAAAACATTCACAGCTTTATCAGCTTTCCCAGCGGAGACGTACCTCTCAGTGATGATAGCGAATGTCTTCGGGTTCGGGCCGAGCCGCCGAGATTGCATTCGGGCCACAAGTTTCCACTGGGTCTTGTAATCGCGCATCCGAGCAGCGATGTCAATGGCGTGATCGAAGGCTGTGGCAGAGTGAGTATATGAACGGTGGTGATCGAGGAGGTTGAAAAAATGGAGGGCTTTCGGGCCGTGGTTCCATAGACGCTTTAGTACAGCTTGGACGAGGTCCGGTGTCCATTGCGTGAGGGTGTGAAGGGTATCTGATAATGATTCTGGGCTGGATTGAAGTATGAGGTTGGAGATTACGACGGGGTCCGGTGGTATCTGTGACGGCGGCGGAAGAGTGGCGAAGTGACTGAGGGTGGGAGAAATGGGATTTAGCGGTACTATGAGGGTTCGGTGCAGATTCAACATTTCACCGTTGTCCGGACTATGGCGCTAAGAACTTAATTACAAAGAAGTATTAGCTAATAATTTGTATTTTACAAAGCTTTTAAATTTGTTAATATAAGTAAAGGATCTTTAAATATATAGATAATCATAATTTTTTAAAATACTTTTTAAACTTGTTAATATGAGATCTCTGGTCGCTCAGAGTCAATTAACTCTACATTCAATGATTTCATTTTTGGGAAAATTACAAGTTAAGCAAGTATATAATATATTATCTTCGTTCAATTTTAATTGTCATAATTTCTTTTTTTAGAATTAAACGATAATAATTTTGACTAACATTTTACGATGTATTTTTTCATCATATTGATATGCAAAAATTTGAATTTGTAGTACTTTTCGTATAGTTTTTTAATATCTAAATTTGTTTAAAATATCGAATTAATGTAATCTAATTCAACTTTGAAAATTAGTCATATTGACTTTCGAAAAGCGCAACATGGCAATTAAAAGTAGACAGAGGGAGTAGCTAATTAGTTATCATAGTTATAGTTTTAGTTAATTACCACTCGCGACCAACATTCAGTGATAATTACATGGGTTGGGGTTTCGAGTTTTTATAATTCGCACGTTTGTATAATTCAAAATTTATATAATATAATTTGTATAACTTTTTTATATTGTAATTTTGAATAATATAATTTGTATAATTGTTTAAAGTTCAGATGTTTGTGTTTGTATAAATTCGTTATTTCGAGTTTATACAAAAATAACTCAATTATACAAACGTACCCACGAATTATACAAACTCACCTGCGATTTATACAAACCCGTGAATTATACAAACGAAACAGCTTAAACTATAGCTACAGCCCGTAAATATGCAAACTATAGTTATGGAGCATGATTAAGTTTATTATGATGGCTATTTGCGAAAATTCCTCTTCATTTTTTCTAGTAGCATGAGTGTCACACTATAATATTATATTAATTTTTGGCTTAAATCATATGCGACCCTTTAAAGTTGTCCGTATATTTCACTTAGACACCCTAAGTTAGACTTGTACCTATTGTTAACCTTAACAAATATATACCTATTTTAACATAAAGTGACAATCAGTTAAAATATTAAGATTCGTGTATTTCAAACGCTTATACATAATAAACATATTAATAAAATGATGACATGTGGCGTTGGATTCAACTTTTTTTTAAAAAATATTTAAATAATCCAAAATGTTTTCAAGAAATTAAAATTTATTATTTTAAATTACCCTCCCCACCCCCGCGTCTTCTTCTTCAAACCCATGTCCCCTCTTCCATCGCCCTTCTATTGGCACCGGCAGCCCAGTAAACCATCATCCGACCTCTTTCTTATCCTCCATTGATCAACTCACATCTTTCTTTCCTCCAATTTAATCTTACTCCTTTCATCAGCGTCGGCAATACACCATTCACCCAAGGTAAATACCTATTCTTTTTCATTTTAATAGCATCAAATTCTTCTATTCATTGTCTTTATCCACTTCCCATTTGTAATCATTTATCACAATTATAACAGATAATAACAAACTTTTGTTCGAAAAAATTAATTCATATTTATTTTACCGGATTAAATGGAGTTTTTCCGGAATATTGAATATGCAGATCTACATAAAAATAATAATAAAAAGGGAAATAGCAGAAGAAGAATTGGAGACGGTAAGAGAAATAGATAGGTGGAAGGGGTGGGGGGGTGGGACGTGTATGTGTAAAAAAACAGTATGGAAATGGTAGATAAGAATGGCAGAGGGAGCGAAATATTGGGCTGGGAAGAAAACTTCCTTTTCAAAAGAAAATATTTTTTTCCTTTTTTATTAATTTTGTATATAAGTTAGTAAAAAAAGAAAAAAAAATTCAATAGTTTTACGCGCCCAAAGAGAGTGTAGTACACGATTTTTGACATGTCAGCACTTTGTGTCTAATAGGAATGACTTTTGAACAAATAAAGTGTTCAATAGGAACAAAGATATGTTGAGGTGTTCAAATTAAATATGCGGACAACTTCAAGGGGTCACCACATATGACTTAAGCCTTAATTTAAAAAATATATATATATATGTATCTATACATAATTTTAAGAAGAGAACACGGGTTCACATTTTTCATATATATTGCCAATAAGTTTGCCTCGTCCTTAAAACTCAAATATTTTCTATGACATTAATGTGTATAATTGAAGGAAATGACATATTTTATTTGATTAACTTAACTACTTCTTCTATTTCATTTGACCATGTTAACTTGACTCTCCCTTTAAAAAATAGAGGTTTATTTTACTAATTAATTTTATTGATTATGTTTTTGAAATCTAAATTTAATTACTACTCTATGTAATCATTTAATGATATTTTTTTTTTATAAGTTTGAACAATTAAAATAGAATGTCTACTTTTGATAGTACTCAATAGATGAATAAAAGTACGGGTAAATTTTTTCCAGAAAAAAGCTAAATATATTTGTGAACTTTTTAAAATAGTATGCGTATGTCTTTCGTTATACTCTAAGGTTGTATGTATCCTTACCGTTACATCTTTGGGCCACACAATAATTTATTATATTTTATTTTATTTTTTATCTAGAATTAAATTGTCTTCTCCAAACTATCCATCCTAATATGGTTCCAAAATGAAGCTTTCCGACAAGTAATTAAAAGCCCGAACGCCTTGAAGATGACAATGTCTTAGAAAGGTCAGCATTTTCATGAAGACCTACTTTAACGCGAAATGAATTTGTAATTGATAATGTCTTTTGGTGAATTTGCTTTAGGTCAATCCTAAGTTCCTCCAATAACGGTGACTCGTCTTCAAAAAACGTCGAGCCACTTTCATTAACGATGGTGAATGTGAACTATTGAGTGAAAAATGAAATAAAAGTAGCAAACCTAACAGTAAAGGACATGAAAAGGATCCTAGGATTTGACGGTTGAAATGATGCCATTGGAAGCCGACGTCGATGTGGATAGAGATTTTCGCTCGCTGGATAGAAAATCACGAATAGGACGTTAAATTACTTAGTAATTGATCATCACTAATTGCATTATCATTCTAATCAAATTAACTTAATATTTTGAATTATTTTTGTCCCAATAGTGATTGGAGATCTACATACATAAAATTTAGAATTTTTTTCTTCAAGAGAGATTGAAACTGGATGGAAATTAAAAAGGATACGAGAAAGACCTTTAATTTGTTGATCAATAGAGAAATCTAGAAGCTTTAAGGCCAAGACAACAAATGCAATGAATGAATATTATTTTGATAAAAATAAAATAGGACAGAATAAATCATTGAGACGATGCCATATGTCTTTCTATTAGCTCAAAAGTACGACAATAAGATAATGATATATACAACTTTAAAATGTACTCCTAACAAATGTTGTATTCATACCATTTTTAAAAGTTCAAAGGCATATTTGATTTTTCTTCATTTTTTTATTAATAAATTTGAATAAAAAGTGTTTAATCAATTTTTTTTTATAATAAGTTGATATGTTTAATTGAAATATGAAAATTACTAAATGTAAAATACAGTTTAATTTATTTCTAAACAAGTTACAAAACTTTGAAATATAATTTGATGCAGTTAAGAATGGAGTACAAAACCATATTTCATCCAGCGCAGCAGTAGCTACAAGTACAAAAATTTGAAAAAACAGCTAACCCGCGCAGTCATCTACCACCTCCTCGCCGGCGGCGACCTAAATTTGTCCATTTTACCCCAATTTGCGTTCTAACTCCGGCGAGTCCTTCCTATCTTCGCCGTCAATATAATAGCAGTAGCTTGTATGTAAAAGTTTTACTACTACACAGATCCATCGAATGGGTGTTAAAGAAAACTGCAGAAACGAGCTCCGAGCCGCCGTCCGTCAGCTCAGTGACCGCTGTCTCTACTCAGCCTCCAAATGGTATATCTTCTTTCTCCAAAATAAACCCTAAAAATTTCCCCTTTTTTGAAATCTTAATTGGGATTTTCCATTGGGCACAGGGCGGCAGAACAGTTAGTGGGAATTGAGCAAGACCCAGCAAAGTACACCCCGTCTCACACAAGATTCCAGCGTGGCAGCTCTAGCATCCGTCGCCGGTTCCGCACAGCCACGGAAGCTGCTTTCACTTCAACCCCTGCTGCGGGAGTATCACATGTGGCTACGCCGACTGTACCGGAGGATGACAACGAAGCCATTGACAGCGATTTTTACCTGCTCGCTAAGTCCTACTTCGATTGTCGGGAGTACCGGCGGGCAACACATGTGCTCCGTGATCAGACTGGCAAGAAAGCCGTGTTTTTGCGCTGTTATGCCCTTTTCTTGGTTTGTCTTTATCATCCTTTTTACCAATTTGTACTTGATTTTAGTTTCTCCTCTTTCATGCTTATCGTTATTGAGTGAAAGCATTAACCTGGTGTTTGATTAGCTGTTAATGCGCTGTTGAGGCACATTAATTAATACTAATACCATTGGGGTGTATCAATGTTATTAGACCAAAAGCTATGACCTTTATCATTTTGTGAATCTGAATTAGTATAACATCTGGAGAATCAGGTGATCTGGTACATCAATACATGTTTATATGTCCATGACTGGAACCAAATATATGACCCGCAGATGAATTATTAGCAAAGGGAAACTTCTAGATGGTTCTAAGTCGAGCATTGGCATCGATGAAACTAATAACACTATGCATTGGTAGCTGGTTATATCAAAACGTGTTTAAGTAATCACCTTTTAGTTAATACATCTTAAGTAATTCATACCACGTGCATGAGGAGATGGTGTGATCCATCTAGGGCATCTCAATTGCGTCTTTCAACATTTAAAGATTCAATTACATTATCAAAGGCACTAAAAGCTCGATCACGTTCCATATGTATTAAATGACTGAACAAACAAGAGAACGTTATTTTCATCAATAGGAGAAATCTTTTTCCTTGACTGAGTTCTCTAGGTATTCTGTTCTTGAAGATGCGGCTAAGGTCTCCTATGTTTTGTTACTTAAGATGGCAGGTAAAGAAATCAACTCTGCGCCCAAGATAGATTCAAAATGCATAGCTAAATAGCTTTAGGGAAATGGTGTCTGCTC